ATTTACAATTGTATATCCTATTTGCCGAATGGACTTTAAACCATCAGGGTCGTTCAACCGTTTCATGAATTATAATGACAGTATACCAGCTGATTGTATATTTATATATATATATATTATATCTGTGTACCTTAAGGCTATGTTTATATCATTTAACACTATGTGCTAATCTGTTTTCTATATCTTTTGATACAGAAAACAATGAGCCATATAGTGTTAATCTGTTTTCTATATCTTTCTGATAAAGGACACAAACAGCCATTCTATCAATCATTCTAACACTATCGGAAATGTTTCTATATAAACAAAGAAGGCCCGAAGCGTGCATTATTCTGCAACAATGCACTCGCCGTTCTTATTATCTCCCTGTGTATTTTCACATTGAGGGCGCCATTTTGTTTGAAAAATCTGATAAATAAAAACAATTTTTTTTGTCGAATTTTGTTGTGAAAACTATCTAGAATGATAGAAAATGGTCTAACTAAGAAAATAAATCCGAAACACCAATATCTTTAATTCAGTCGTTAACGCTGTACAGACGTTTAAAGTGTTGTTTACGTGACGTCACAATGTGTAGCGCCAAACAGCACGTGCAAAACAATCAAAATCAAGTACGCATTTAACGTCGCAGACGATTTAAGTTTTAATTTTATTTCACTTTTAATAATTTGTATTTCGCTTGGAAATTATAGACTGAAATAAAATAAACAAACAAAGTTTATCAACGTTTTCAAAATTTCGTTATTCTCAAAATGTTTTCTACACACGGTATAAGATTTTAACGACAGTTTTTTTCAACCCACTGGAACAGCTTTAAAGAACGTTTCTATTGGAAACTCTGAGGCGAAAACAAAATTTAACACGCGCAAACATAAAGTCCAACTTTATAATAATAATTATACTTTTTCTTGACGTGTTAGAATGGAAATAGATATTAATTCTTCGTGCATTATTGTATAATAATGCACGTTTTTCGTTCAAATGCTTTGTAATTAATCACTCAGGCCTATCGGCCTTCGTGATTATATTACTACGCATTTGAACTCAAACCGTGCATTATTCTACAACAATGCACTCAGAATTGATATCTATTTCCTAAACATTTGAATATTCCAACTGTAATTATATTTACATGGACAGATAATCTCTAAATAACAATTAACCTAAGTTATTCTGCTGAAACAGAGATTCTCTGGAACTCAGTAATTGTGGTTTTCCCACCTAATCCCATGGTACAAACAAACTTTAATTTACAGTTACAATTTGGTAAAATACTTACCCATAATAAGCACAACACGTTGACTGCTCGCTCTATAAAGGTAAAAGTTTGTTTGTACCCAGGCATAATAAGTTGGAAAAACCCACTTTTGCCGAGTTCCAGCCAGATGACATCTATTAAGTGATAGACTTAATTTGTCAAGCATAATGTATATTGTCCAGTAAAAAATAAATAAATATTTTCAATTAAATTTCTTTTCTTTTGTGTACAGGAAAGGTCATAGGGCGACTTTCCAGCTTTACTGGTGAAGGAAGACTTCAGGGCCATTCTTTGCATTGTTTTCGGTAAGAATGGACACCTTATAAGAAACACTGACATCCCATAAGCTAGCTGGAAAACATCCCCACATGAAAGAATCCAAAGTCCCTGGAGGAGTTCAAGCCAATAGCGGTGAGGGGCAAGTAGTTTTATAGTCAACGACCTTAATAACCACTTGGCCACAGATGCTGCACATTCCTATTATAAACTACATGTACTCAAAACAAAATGTAAATCAGTAACTCAACACAAGATGTAAATGTAACTAATAACAAGATTTAAATTTAACTCTTAACAGGATCTTAAAAACATAAGGAACAGGATGTGATTATAATTCAAAATGCAAAAAAAACAACAGATTAAATAACTCAAAATAAGATGTGAATGCAACTCAAAACATGTACTGATGCCAAAGATGAAAAATGTAGACAATGTATCAAGATGTCAATACAACTAAAAAACAAGAGTGATCAGTGATCACATGTGTCGCCTCATGATAGCTAATTGCATGTTGCAGCTATTGTGTAGCTCATTAACAGGGCAATGGGATTTATATCCAAGAGCCATAACTCAGCCAAAATCATTCAAATGGAAAAACCCTGAAATATGCCCAAGCACTTGAGTTACAGATCAATCCTGTAAATTTTCACTGAAATTGCATTAGTGGTATAAGAGGAGTAGTCTGGACAAACTTGAAAACAATAATATTAAAGGGCCATAACTCTGACAAAAATCACTGAACATGAAAATGCTGATGATATGCACAACAAGGCTTGGTACTGATAATTCCTGTAAAGTTTGGATGAAATTGCACCAGTAGTTTCTAAAGAGTAGTCTGGAAAAGTTTTGTGACAGATGGACAGACAGACAGACAGATGGACAGACAGACGATAGAGAAGTGATCCCTATATGTCACCACTACCCTGTAGAGGTGACAAAAAATAAACATTGTTAATGTAACTTGAAACAAGAGGTGAACCTAACACCGGATCTACAATCTTATTCTTGCCAACTAAAAACATGTTTTAATCTTCTTTTCTTCTTTATATCAAAACTGATCTAACATTGGTTTAATAAATTTTGGTGCACAGGTTTTAAATGCCCATTAACCCCAAATATGTTTTTTTTTGTCATTTCTCAAAATTTTTTGTTAAATTCTGGTGTCATGTTATAATTTTAAAAGTACTCATTGGACATATATTTAAACTATCATTTAAGCTTCTTTGATTTTTTAGTAATGTGTGATTAAGTGTTTTGTATGGAAGTTTCTCAGACATAATGTACCGGAAATAGATAACTAAAATTTAAAACTTCTGTTTATTGCTTTCCTGGTTTTAAATTCGGATTTTAACACATTTTTTTTTGTCATATTTTAGCAGCTGATCCCCCTAAGCAGCTCTTCAAGAATAACTAACTAGTAATTATCAATTACTCCACAAGTGACCAACAACTTATCTCACATGATTACTCAATCATCCATGAGAGACAAATGACCATTTGCCCAATCTTCAAGGTCAGTTGTCAAGGAGAAATGTGGCCTCAAACAAGCAACATCGGAATTACTAATAGATGCTTTCCTAGTTGAGCTAAGTTTGGGCACAAATATTGAAACTTATCAATCAACAACATGAAACACTCTGTTTTCTCTTGTTTGCATTGTAAAATCAACATTTATGTAAATCTTGTATTTGTACAGTATATGTGGAATTCAGACATTTTCTTAAAGATCCTGTAACTCATTTTTTTTATGGTTTTATATCATAAATATAAAGCTCAAATGAAGATTTATCAATTTTGTAAGTTCCAAAAAAGCATTATTTGTAAAGATATTATCGAATGTACATTTCATGTTAATAAAGGGAGGTAATTAGAAATTTATTTTAGTCAAACTTTTCAATAAGAAATGAATGCATATATTTTAATGATGACATATGATGTGGACAAACATACAGTACATACTTTACATATTCTTTGATGTTTGAAAATTGTTTTAGAAGCATAATTATATACATATATAAAATTTCACTTAAATGTGGTAACAAGGAACCTTAATTACAGCATACAGGATCTTTAAGATAATTATTTACATTCTACTTTACTAAGTGATTATTCTTTGTAAATGACAAGGAAATGAACAAGGAAACAAAACAAAATACATTACATTATAAAATTTCCATATTAAGCCTATTCTCTTATTTTACAAAAATGAAAATCAAAACATAATTTCCCTCACAAAATTTCATATATCTTCTATGATAGTACTTTATGTGAAAATCAGAGTTAAAATTATAAAAACATTAAACATAACCTGGTATATAAGAAAGTTCCTTACTTTTTACCAATAACAACTTTTTAATTCAGATTTATCAAATGGCAAATAAAATCACAATTTTACTGTACTATATAGATGTATACTCATAAAAGCATACAAAACAAGGTAATTGGTCATTAGAAGGTAAATGCAAATGCATATGATATTATCAAATATACATGTATGTCGCTAGGGCTCTGCTAAACTAATCTGCCTAATTTTTCAAGCATATTTCATTTCTAACCAAGTGCATGTCAACAAATGCTTGGCCTTAAAGAAAAATTCCAAAATTAAGACGGTGATATTTTTAACTCTTGGACAAAAAAGCTGTCTGGCGAGTACAAGCGTGTTACTTCTGATCACTGTAGCCTATTCATTTTAACTTGTATCTTTCTAAATGCGGGTACAATATGTAGACTGGTTTATATACTGCGATCTGTACTATATGTCAGGCAGGCTTTATGCCCAAATATATCCACCAGCAACTTAATTGTAGCTTACATTTATTACAGGGGTGTCATTAAAACCTGAACTAGTTGAAAACAAAATCCTAAGCAACATGTCATGTGCCACTATTTGGTTAACTTATATTATTTTACATTATTTCTCTCTTTCACTGTTATTATAAAATTATATTCTAAAACTTCAAGCAATAATCCAGCTTATTTTCAACATAATGAAACCCTTGTATAAATAATACAGTCTGTCCTTGTAAAAAGTACTCTCTTAGAGCGACCTTCAGCTTTAATTTTCTGTTAGAAAAAAAATTATGTGTTGTTTCATTAACAATTAGTATTTCAATAATTTTATCTTGGAAAAGTGCATCGTATCACTGTTAAGCCTTTTTCAAAACAAAGTCGGGAGAGCTATTTATAACGCGCAAGTGACATCCCTTTCTAAAATTAGAAGATAAGGAAACAAACCGTCCACTTTGCTAATTTAAATATAGAGAGCAAATCGGTAGATAAGAGAGATGGAGGTGTTTCCTTATTGTTTAAGTATTCATGGTCAGTAAATTTCATTTTCCACCTTTATTCTTTTGATTTGACAATTATATGAAACGATTTATCAAAAAATATCATATTTAACTTTAGAAAAGCTGAAAGCCGCTTTAAAACACCTTCACCAATATGTATTAACATACATTTTTACCTTTTCCTAAAAATTCTATATTATCATCATCATCAGCATTATCATTATCAAGTTCTCGGTCATAAAAATCGTGTTCTTCTGTGTCCAGTGTGTAATAACGATTGTCACCCGATGCTACACGACTGTTATATGATCGTAATGGCTGAATCGCTTCCTTGTCAACAAGGTCTAATGGCTGCCAGTCGGAATGTTTTGGCTTCATTCTATTTAAAAAAGATAGAATGTTGAAATTTAAGGTCACTTTTTGGAAGATATATATTATGCAACTTTGATAAAAGACTGGGCTTGCCTGACTGTGTGGACTTTTTAATTTGTCTATATTAATATATATAGAACTCTGCGAGCCGGATGTGTCGCCTTGTGAACAATATAGTTTAGGATAAATGGCAAGGACAAAAATGAAATATGAAAATTAACAAAGGGCAATAACTCAAAAAATAAGAAATGCAGAGCAGTAGTTTCTGTGCACTGCACTTCTTATCAATAAGATCTGCCATGGCCGAACAATTAACATTTATCATTGAAAATTAACAAAGGGCAATTACTAAAAAAATAAGAACTGTAAATAACCAGTTCTTGAGCACTGCACTTCTTCTTAATAAGATCTATCATCCTATGAAGTAGAAATGGCCTGTATAAAAATATAGTATGAAAATTAACAAAGGGCAAAAACTCAAAAATAAGAAGAGCAGAGTACCAGTGCTTGTTCCTAACCATTTTGGGATACAGTATCTTGCCCAGTTTGGGAAATTTTGCAAAGTAAACTTACTTATTAATTGACTTGTGTATTTACTTATTAATTGGGAAAAATATTTGGTACATTTTGATGTGTACAATATACAACAGTGTAAAGCCAAATCCCCCTATCTGGTAAGGGTGTAACGGTTTACCGGTATACCGATATATTGCAATATGAAAAAATAAATTTCGAACCGCGGTACGATTTTTGGAAAACCGGTATTTTATAAAAATCATCACTTTCAATTAATTGCCTTCTAATTTTGTACAAATTTCACATAAAATCTTTAATTGGCAAATTTTGTTGGCGCCAACGTAAGAAAAAAGTATCCGACAACAAGTACACTTAAAAGTCAATAAGCGGCCGCATAATTTACATAAGCGGCCCATATGTGAAAGGTCACATGCGACTAGTTTTGTTTATCAAATTGTGTGACACTACTTTCTATTTATTCCTTACATTTTTATTAAGTTTCTACTAAAGATATATACATATAATAATAATATATAAATGTTACTCCATCTTTACATCAAAACATATACACGACAATACGTATTGCAATATATTGCAATTCGCTTCAGCAAAATGGCAATATATTGCAATACAGTTTTTGCTGTATTGTTACACCCCTACTATCTGGGTGGCTGGAAATATGGCATGTATGCAACACCTACATGCTCTTTTGGCATAGTATTTTTTATGGTGCAAAATTGTTTACGTATTTCAACCATGGATTTATATTACGTATTATTATGTAATATAAATCCGTGTTTCAACCAATGCAAATATCATTCACATTCAAATTTGAGAATGAGTATTACTGGTATAATTAAGGGTTAGATAATGCAATATGCCAAAAATCTGTAAATTATGAATTAGGGTAAATGGTTATCGGTTAGGATTTTAAAACATGGATTTTACTGCGGACAAGTGCTCCTATCAATGATAAAAGTTAATTGTTCGGCTGTGGGTATCCTACGATAATTTTACCATTCTGGACAATAGCGTTTTGTGCAAATTGCGTTTTCCGATAAAAGGGAGGTAATTAAAATCTTTCTAAAGAATGCTAAATTCTGTATTCTCGGCCCATATCCGGATAGTTGCTGCTGTCTGCTTTTTTTATCTTTGCATAGTTTCACTTCTGATTTACTCTGTTTCACTTCACTTTGTTTTTAATCTTTTGTTATATTTTTGTTTTCTCACATTCCAAGTTAGCACTTCAGGTATTAAATAAAACGTTTATTATTGTTGTTGTTTATGGTTGTATGGTAAAACTTATCTATTTCAATACGCCAAAACGCTGACAATCCAGTCCAAAACAATCTTCTCGGGGCCTGACAAAGTTACGCGCTTAATTTTTGTTGTTTTTCCTTGCTTGTTTTTAGTTTAGTAAAAGAATAACAAAGGTACCTGAGTTACCTTTATCTTTTTTCTTAATATAATACATGAAGAACTTCAGGCCTTAAATCGTCGGAAGATGATGTTTTTGAAAAGTCCTGTAAAGTAATCTTTTTGAGTACTAATTTATATTATATTAATACTATATATTAATACTAGTTTTATCAATACGAACTGGGACAGAAAGATACATTATTCGTACAAGATACGAAACAAAACGATAACATGCAAAAGAGTGTCATACCTGTTTTTATTTGAAAATCCGTTATTATGTGTACACTTTCGGAGCGTTCGTCAAAACAAACACTTTTGAGTCACATATTCAAACAAATTATTTTGCATATTGTGGAAACATTTTTGTCATTAAGAGCCATTTTGGACATTAAGACGTATTGATTGCATGTACGAGATAAACGGAAAGGCAACAGCTTTCACGGTGACAGCTGTTTGCGTCAGAAACGTTTAAAAGCAACAGGCATTAACGCGAAAAACAAAGAAACAATGATATGTAAAAAATGATTGATATACCTATAAAGTAAAACAATGTAATTCTATGTACTGAAAGTCTAAAATATCAATCATTTATTCTTGTTCGCTCTTTTTAACTCCGTTTTATCGTGTAGGGTATGGTATATTAAAGGGTATCACGTGTACATGCTACTGTTCTAACAACTGTCATATTAAAGGTTCCTTAGTCCAAGCCGATGAAATAAATCTGCGGATGTTTCGCAATTTTGATAAATTTATAACCATTTTCGTGTCTAAATGTTGAATTTTCCCTTCAGACGGTGCCATGGAGGGTAGCATTCATTTGCCACTGTCGCTTGTTCATTTGTACCACTGCCGCTTGTAAACAAACTTGGTCGTGTTTTCAAGGTTTCTATATCCTTTTATAATTTTAATACTAATCATGTCAATCAGTTGACATACTAACCTAGATTTGTTTGAAAAGCAGACAAACATCGCTCATTCTTTGATATGTACACGGCCTTTAATCGACAAAGTATAGGGATTTAAATATTAATAGGCTAGTGCTTTTTTTAACTTTAGAAACATATGTACATGTAGTAAGCAGTAAATTACTTAAGAGAGACATGGACAGCATCCTGCTTATAAATATATACTTTGAGCCACATTGTAAAGTTCGTCATAATTATATACGCATTATTGAGTATGTTTTGTAGTATTTAGTTAATACTTATGTTCATGCAATATGTAATAATTCTTTGCAAATCAACCGTCATCACATGTGCTCCTAAACATCATAAATTTGATTCGTGTGTATTACTCCACAAAAAGTGGAGCAGTCCTATCCACATAGCAGGTCCTAACGAAAACTTTCAGGAATGATCGATGGTTCCTAAGTTACAAAAAGAGAGTGAATAAAAATGTTTCAAGTTTATTGAAAGAGAGACCTACCAGAACTTATGGAACTAGTAGACTTTGTACTGAATGGCTTCTTCTCGTACGATAATGCTAGGTTTTGACTGGGACATACGAAAAGTTATAGTATGTCCCAGGTTTTGATGAAACTATAGGGATGGTCAATAAGTTGTTTTCTTTAAAAAAATATCTCAGAACCATTTGCATGCTACTGTTTCTATCCGAAATTACAGTCTAATTGCCCCTAGAGTTAGACCAACATGCACATCCGTGCACATCCAAGCTAAATAGGCCTATTGATTGGTGACCATATTACTAATATTCATCATGGTATCACTGAAATTGACCATGTACAGCATTGATACGGTATAAGAAATATTCAGCATTTAATCAAAGCTATCTTGGCAAAGAGCTGACTCTGTTAAATGAGACAGTTACTCAAAAATCAAAACCTCGTTGAATGTCAGGATGTACATATCTTGATTTTAAGTATGCTTCAGAAATCAGTAATCCTTAGAAATGTCAAAAATGTGTTTAATAATGTTTTGATAATGGACATAGTTAACCAACTGAAAAAAAGAAGAGCTGAACTTGAAGTATGTGCCGTAAATGTAGCATACCATACACTATACTAAATTACGATAATTATTCCAATTGAGAAGCAAAGGATAGTTTTTTCATGATGGCTAATAAGTATCTTTTTGGAAACTGTAAATAAAACGTTTATGAGAAATAAAAATAATAGAACTATTCGGGCTTAATGGGTCTTAATTTGACCAGGTCAACAAATGAACCAACCTAAATTCCCTTCGTGCATGGCTGACACATAAAGAAATAACACAAATAGATTAACTCAAATCAACACTTTTTTATATTTTATTAAAATTATTAAATCACACAAGTGTACTTTTAAGTCAGTAAAGTGTTGTGTGAATACTTTATTTGAAATTTTCCTATATATCTAATTTCGTAGAGGAAAATATCCCAAAACCAAACTTTAAATTAAAACCATTAAAAATTCTCTTGAACAATTGTCATGTACTTCTAAAGTTTCGTTGAAGTTTTGTTTAAGTGATACTTCTAATGTGTCATCGCAAGAAAAGAAAAAAAAAACTAAGGAAGTTATTGATAATTTGTTTCAGGTGTGTTTTTATAAACATTTAACTGTTGTTTTTTTCTACTATCATCATCGTTGTTGATTCAACCTTCATTTTGAAAATAGAAATTATCTTTAATTAAGGAAACACTTACCACTTTTGGTATCGTATGTAAGTGCTTCTTCATATGAACAAGCATATGCGTATGTTCTGTCATTTCTTCGTAAGAGCGGCAAACTACTGTATATCTAAGGTACGTGCATTTTGAACATATTTCAAACACTCTAATAAAGGTTTAAATAGCCTATTCAAATGTATTTTTTTTCTCCATAAATCAAATGGGCTCTTAAAATGGAAAACTGTGTAATAGATAATTTATAGATACGCTCAGTATTAAATTGAAATTCAGCTGTTTATGTCATATTTGGGGTAACTTCAGTGACAAACATTGCAACGCTTATCAATATTGCTCCGTTTGCGCTATTACATTGATTATCCCTGGGAAGCGGAGTGAGTGAATGGATACGAGTTATTGACCTAGGCCTATATCAATTCGTACAAAAATCTTGAAAAATATTTTCCGTCCCTTCAT